GCCGCCAAACAGGGTATGGTTTTCAGCGATTCTACTATGGAACAGGGTATATAAAACCGCGTTCGCTCTGGGACAGGGTATATGAAATCACGCTCTCTCCTCTCTGGAACAGGGTATCCATTTTCGCAATACCGGAACAGAATTTGATTTTCAGCGATCTTGGAACAGGGTATGAATTTCAGCGATTTTACTCTGGAACAGGGTCAGGGTTCAAACGGGCAAGAATACCCCCCCCCCCCCCGGGCTTACTAGCTCCTCGATTTTTAAATGTCCATTTTATTGCATTAATGCGCATGCTCGGAGCTGCGTGTCCTCGATTTCTGGCCATGCTTAGAGTAGAGTAACTACTTACTCGTCCTCCAAGTGCTCCCTTTGGACCAGAGTCTCCCATATCACCCTTAGATCCCTTCTCACCGCCGGGTCCTTTCAATCCTGCTGGTCCTTGAGGTCCTGCTTGTCCCTAGACATTTGATAATCACAGAAAAATATTAATTAAGAAAATAAAGGCGCAGGGAGAAATATAGCGGTAAAGGAAAGGAAGTTAATCATTTGAATCTTTTGGGTTACTTTGATTTCTACGAGCTTCACTTTTGTAAAGAATTTGTTTGATGTTTTGTTCTCTTCCCTACAGTCAGAGTTTTTTTTCAAAGTTCTGCTCATTCAGTTTGATCCTTCATAAAATAGGCATGTAAGTTGTAGTGACCGTGCTTGTGGCAGCCGTTAAAGTGAACAATTTCTTAGTCCTGTCGAAATATTCCAGTTCCGAATTCTCTGTTGCTCAGGATTAGCCTCGACTTTGTCCAGAATATTGACGTTTTCCAGTCAAGGTTCGTCTAGTTTCAAAGTGTTCGTATTGTTGAAGTTGTGCATTCTTTACTTTTCCGTTGGTATGTGTGAATATTTAGACACTGATTTCAGTCTAACGCTGAGAAAGTGAGTCCGTAATCGAGGAACGCAGCGGTAATTTGGAATTCAAAACTGGTCTTTTGTGCCACGCCCTAGATAAAATAATAAGGTATAATAATGAATTAATAATAATTCTGAAGTGTGCACTTACAGGTTGTCCTGGGATACCAGGAATACCGGGTGATCCTACGTCTCCACGTTGACCCTGAAGTGGAAAGTTAAAAAGAGCATCACAAAAACATATATGTAATAGGACTCCATGCTGTCCAATTAAGAAATAATTGGACGAGGAAAATTCCAATTTGGCAGTCAGAGGAATTTTTCGAGTCTAATTATTTCTTGATTGGGGAGCATGAAATCCCATTATGTATTAATCATATAGCTGCCTAATCAATCCCATATCAACAAGACCTGTCCAATTAGTATAGGAAATCGCACGATCTCGAGTACAATTTGGAAATTAATAGACACGAGTAATGTTTTGTAAGTTCTTGTAATTGCACGAGCCTTTAGGCGAGTGCAATTAAAGAACTTTCAAAACATTACGAGTGTCTATTAATTCCAAATTGTACGAGAAGATCATGCGATTTTTTGTTTATAGTTCACTCAACAAAATTTTAGTAAAAAATGCGAAGCGACGCTGTTCATCTTTGTCTATTTGGCGGCCGATTTTCAGTCCATCGCGCAACTGAAATGCATAAAAAAGATTAGTTCTTACG